AGCTGACTGTGGTAGTAGCAGGGATTATCTCAGACGGCACTTGTCTGATTTAGACCACATGGGAAGTAGAAATAACATTATCTCAATAATTTTTCGTATCTCAAGGCATGCTCGCCATCTGTGTGACTTTTTGCGGCACTGTCAATAATAAGTTAGACAAATCCAATTTTGAACAGCTCAAGTTAATTTTTAACTATTCAAGTACTTATGTCAAATCCGTTTTTTTACAGCTACATATAATGCACAAAAAAGCAGTCGATTAAAAACACCTTTAGTGCTGGGACAATATTTTTGTAAAAGTTCAAACGTATAACTTCGTGTATGTGTGCTATGTTATTATATTCACATGCAACCTATGCTAGGTGCATCTTTGCTGTTTTCTCATCACTCACAGCGAGTGTAATTTGTTATTCTTTCCGTCGCCATTCAGTCAAGAATATTTCATCTGTCATACTAAGATGACAAACTAAAGGGAAATCATGATATTTGGTAATTCAAACAGCTGTACCTACACAAGACAAAGATCATTAACACATCAAGTACAATTATGGTCTGAGAATAACTCATTGTGGGGTTACGGGCAGAAATGAGTTTACTGCAGACGCGTACATTTGCAAATTATCAAATTATTAAATTATTACATTTCCTACAATTCACTTAAAGGGCGGTGGTTGTCGCGCCACGGGTGTGCGACAATTGTGTTGATAAATAATGACTCTCCCACAATCCAATTCGCTTTTCTAATGAAATCACGAGAACGAGTTTTGACCAGGGCGTCATTTGCACTATTTACCGCTTGTCTAATTAAAGATGGGTAACCTCTCAGTTCGTACTCGTTGGTCTGCGCAGCAGTCAAAGTCACCATCTTTGTTTATATGAGACCCATATCTCGCGCATGCATGGCGCGACGACCACGACACTTTAAAGAGCTACAGTCAACTCTTGTTCGGGATACAATTACATCTCAAACGGCATTCTATGTCTCGATCGGGATAATTTGTCAGTCTGGACCAACTCAGTCAGGACTACCCCCCGGTCGGAATAATTTGTCCCAGTTGGGATAGAAAATAATCATCTCTGATTGAGACACTATATTTTCGATCTAAGGCAAAATATTCCGACCGGGATACAAAATAATCTCCTTTTAGTAACCGTGTCTGTACCGAATATGGAATAATTAATTAGGTTCCTAGTTGTCAGTCGGCATTGTGTGTACACGTGATACTTCATACATTACCATTTATCCGGGTCCGGGTTGAGGGCTTTCTCAATGCTTATCATCTGTAACATATAACACACTAAGGGGTCAAATATATAAATGAACACGAACATTGCAAAAATATTGCACAAAAAATGGCAAAATAATATAAATATAATAAAAATTTGCATAAAAATATAAACATGTTATAATAATGTCATGAAAAAGATTAAATAGCAGACTAAATAACACAACAACATAAAAATGAATAAAAATGTCTAAATAATTATAACAATAATAATCTTGGCCCTGATTTCACCCTACAGGTTTCATTTTATTTATCGCCTGTGTTCATAAAACAGAGGAAATAAAAAATCATAAGTATGGTTTATGGTATACATTTGTATATCTAGCCTATGTGTCTATATAAGTATTTTAAAAGCAAATATCATGACGTCAGTAGAGCAAAGTACAGCAATGAAACAAACATCAGGCCACACAAAATTAATGTATGTGCAAATACTACTTTTGTGAGGTCAGATAATATTTACATTATTACCCGAATAAAATTATACAGAACCATACAAATATAAACCAAATCACGAATATGTCGCCATGATGTACAATTTTTCGATAAATGATCTAAATTTAGGCTTTCAAGTATCAAACGTAGGTGAAGTGTTTATTCTGCAATCGGTGTACTTTGACACATTAGATTTTTGTTATCAAAAGACACAATGGGCTACATAGGCATCGTTGGTGGCGCACTGCTAATAGATCACCTATTATTTACATTCCAGTGGAGAATAACCAACACATGACCTCGCCCTGAATGACCGTTGACCTCTCTCAATCTGCAGATGGAGAACGCTCGAATGTAAACTTGTTAGCATCTTGACATGGCTAAAATGAGGAATAAGAAACCGAAATCCAAGTCACCCGGTGCGGTTGCCGACACCAGCAACCGTCCTACCTTGGAGAGAGTGTTCACGATCGTTTCGCTGACGCTGGTCATGATCATAAGCGTCGGTATTGGCTACTATATCAAGGAAAACTTGATATCGAATAGAGACTGTTCTATTACCATAGAAACAGACCGATTCAACTGTATTCCTGAAGGTAAGTAATATATTTCTATTATGGAAATTATTGTAAAGTAATCATGTTGAAATTCTGTTTGTACAATTGCTTTAATGAGGGGCAGTGTATTCAATTATGGGCGGGGGTCCAATTTGAAACATTATTACAAGAAATAATTTTGAAAATTAAATCTAACCATAGACCCTCTATTAGAGGGTCTATGATCTAACTTACTTTCAGCTCACATTAAATTTTAAAATGTAATAAGTACTACGCAAAATTTGAAATCATAACTACTGTCCCTCATCTTCGTTTTATTCAAACTCCTTCTGTCAATGTTGCCAAAAAACAAAAATCTGGTTAGTAATTTTTTTTTCAAAAACTATTGTTACAAAATAAATTTTCACTAAAGAATTACTTCATTCAGACAAAAACACCGAATTATTTTATTTCAATGTTGAAAACAGATGTTAGGAGCTAACAAAAATACATCTAATCCTGCTTGCCCCCCCGGTGTGAACAGTGTGGTCGTCTAGAATATTACAAGTTATAACAATCATTATGAATGAACTGCAGCACCATATGGAATGGGGATTTCATGCTTTGTCAGACAGTGACAGAGATACATGGATTGAAAGTATTCTTAATTAAATATAAATTTAAATTAGATTAATAATGTATATAAACGTAACATAAAAAAGTTAAAATATTGTTGTGTACCAAGATTTATTACGCATATTTAATATTCTCAAACTCAATTATATATGCAAATTAGCTCATTAAATACTGTTTACAATCTCTTATCCAACATTTCAAATATGCTGTGTAAGTTGACTGTGTATCACTTAAGTGTAATACATAAGGAATTGTTTAATAACTGGTGGATAACCCTTCAAGGGAAAGGTCTATTTCACGGAGATAAGCCATTCATTGGAACCATGGACTATGACATGTTTTGTCTTGTTCATGTTAACTAGACTATTATAATGTAGAGATTTTGTAAAAAATCACTGATTACAATCTCTTGCATGTTCTTTTCTGCAGTTTGTAT